CCCTCTCAAGTAGCAGCTGCCATTATTAAAGCCATAGGCTGTCCCTGTCTGGGCTCAGACCCTTCCTCCCCCACTGGAGTAATCCCACAGGAGGCAGGGCAGGATTCCAGTTGCAGGCAACAGCACACCAGACGGAGACCCAGCAGGACTTGGCAGGGCTCAGTGGCTCCATGTCAGACACCTCACTGCCCAGAAATGTGTCCAAGAGCCACTCACTGACCCTCTGGTTCCCAATCTGGGACCTATAAGCCCACAGTGGGTCTCGAAAGTAGATACGAAGAGCCCAGTGTCCCTCTCCATGTGTCCTGAAACACGACAGACACGAACAGGGGTCCTCTGCCATTACCACTGATGGCCAACCAGCAGCCTCCTTCCCTGGGACGGCTGCCGTTCCCCCAGACTGTATCGCCTCACCAGCACCCAGGCTCAAGACCTGGGAACACAAGGGGTGCTCTGACAGGCTCTGCTGAGTGCGGCCTCTCCTGCGGCCAGCCGGCCTCCACCTGCAGAGCAGCACACCTATGTACCAGGACGCTCCTAGGCCTGGCCTGGCCCATAGGCAAGGAAGGCCCCAGGACACAATGGAACATCGGGCCCTTTTATTTCCACGTCTTTTTGTCTTCTCTAAAATGTTTATTCTATACAAAGCAAATAGTTATTACATAACTATAAATAGTTCAAGGTTTCCTTAGACTATTTCTTTTTTTTTTTTTTTTTTTTTTTTTTTTGAGACGGAGTTTCGCTCTTGTTACCCAGGCTGGAGTGCAATGGCGCGATCTCGGCTCACCGCAACCTCCGCCTCCTGGGTTCAGGCAATTCTCCTGCCTCAGCCTCCTGAGTAGCTGGGATTACAGGCACGGGCCACCGTGCCCAGCTAATTTTTTGTAATTTTTAGTAGAGACGGGGTTTCACCATGTTGACCAGGATGGTCTCGATCTCTTGACCTCGTGATCCACCCACCTCGGCCTCCCAAAGTGCTGGGATTACAGGCTTGAGCCACCGCGCCTGGCCTGACTATTTCTTTTATGATTTATCTTCTTTTCTCACTTTCTGAACCTCTTGGTTTCATCAAAATGCTACCTATGCCGGGCGTGGTGGCTCTCGCCTGTAATCCCAGCACTTTGTGAGGCCAAGGCAGGCGGATCACCTGAGGTTGGGAGTCTGAGATCAGCCTGACCAACATGGTGAAACCCCGTCTTTACTAAAAATACAAAAATTAGCCTGGCGTAGTGGTAGGTGCCTGTAATCCCAGCTACTCGGGAGGCTGAGGCAGGAGAATTGCATGAGCCAGGGAGGCAGAGGTCACAGTGAGTGAAGATCATGCCATTACACTCCAGTCTGGGTGACAGTGAGACTCCGTTTCAAAAAAAAATAAAAAGTTATCTATATAAACACCTTTAAAAAAACAAAAAGTGCCCCTTCTCCACTCCTCCATTTTCTATCCCATTCTCCAGGGAGGCCATTCAAGCCTCTTTCTGCTACATCTGCTTCTACAACTCAAGGGTTGGCTTTCTTAGAGTCTCTTCCCCTCCCCTCATTTCCCAATATGATTATAGTTAAATCGATTTATACATTATGACTCTGAAATTATTACTGGCTTCCTTAACTAGTTCATTATTAATATGTTTTCTTAAAAAATAAAATTAATAATGAACTTAAACAAGTTCATCATCAATAACTTTAAAGTTAATTGATTTGTTATTTTTCCTTAGGCTTTATTTTTTGTAGTTTTCATTTCTTTGACACGCAATCGATTGTACCTATTTAAGGAGTACAAACTGATGCTTATAACGGACAGTGAGCAGATCAGGGAATAAGCGCATCCATCATCGCAAACATGTATCACCGCTTTGTGTCAGAAACGTTCAGTATGCTGTGCATACGTTTTGCTTCCTACTGTTGTGTGGGGCAGGGGCGGAGGTCGGGGGCAGGAGTGCCAAGGAGAGGGCAAAGGGCACACTGCTGGGCACGCTGAACCACGGATTCGGCCGGACGAAAGCACCGCATTTAGTGAGTAGTAAGATCAGAAAGAAAGGGCGTTACAGTCAGTTTCTAGAACCGTTAGGTGGCTTCCTGTGCACAAGGTCTTTTTTTTTTTGAGATGGAGTTTTGCTCTCGTCACCCAGGCTGGAGTGAAGTAGTGCAATCAGGTTCAAGCAATTCCCTGCCTCAGCCTCCTGAGCAGCTGGTACTACAGGCACCCACCACCACGCCTGGCTCAGCCTCCCGAGCAGCTGGTACTACAGGCGCCTGGCACCACGCCTGGCTCAGCCTCCCGAGCAGCTGGTACTACAGGCGCCCACCACCACGCCTGGCTAATTTTTATAAATTTAGTAGAGACGGGGTTTCACCATCGTGGCCAGGCTGGTCTTAACCTGTGACCTCGTGATCCACCCACCTCAGCCTCCCAAAGTGCTGGGATGACAGGCGTGAGCCACCGCGCCCAGCCCACGTGGCTTTTGTCTTTGCTGTCTGTGTGCAGTTTCGAGTGCCGCATGTGCACAGGCCGTTGCTGGTGGTGGTGGGAGGGGAAGGCACCATGGCCACATCTTCCCCACCCTGCGATGGCTTCTCCTTACGGTTTTTCACCGGCTCAGACCTATGAGCTGGCCCAGGGGTTCCGCTGTGCTTCCCAGCACTCCCCTCCTTGTCCCATGCCCTCAAGGTCTACACAAGCTGCATCCTGGGCCGCCCCTTCCCCATCACCCTTGGGCCCGGTTCCTTCTCCTGCATGTGGCGCTGTTTCCTGAGCCTCACTGCTTCCTTGGTTTACTCCCTGCCTCTAGAAAGAGCATTTTCCTGTAGTTTCCGTAGGAGGGCACATGGGGGTGTATCTTGTGGGAGGATGTATCATGTCTGTGAATGTCCTTATTCTACCCCCACACCTCGATTGGGCTGCCTGGGTACACAGTCACTGGTCACTGTCACTCCGAATGCCCAGTGTCCAACAAAGGACTCCATGGTCCATCAGCTTCCAGCATCGTGGCTGATGCACCTGTGTCTTTCCTCCCAGCAAAGCTCTTCTGCGAAGCTCTCTACCTGCAGAACCTTCCGGAAGTTTTGCTCTAGCTCCTGCAACCTGAATTTCCGTGACCTGCTTTGATGCTGCCACCGACTGGCCCCTCACCCTGGCAGCACGTCCTCAGCCCCGCCGTTTGCTTGTACTGTTGACGATTTCTTCTCTGTTCTCACCTGCTGAACTCTTACTTTCATCAACGATGGTATCTATGGTTCTCATTTCACATCTGGTTCTTTAAGAGGGAGAGAAAGGTGTGCATTCTACCATATTAAAACGGAAACGGTGCTGGCGCGGCAGCTTACACCTCTAATCCCAGCAGTTTGGGAGGCTGAGGTGGGAGGATCACTGAAGCCCAGGAATTTGAGACCAGCTTGAAACATGGAGAAACCCCATCTCTACAAAAAACACAAAAATTAACCAGGCATGGTGGCACACACCCATAGTCCCAGCCACTTGGGAGCCCGAGGTGGGGAGACTGCTTGAACTCAGGAGGTGGAAGTTGCAGTGAGCTGAGACGGAGATCACACCACTGCCCTCTAGCCTACGTGATGAAGCAAGACTCTGTCACAAAAAAAAAAAGCAAACCGAGGCAGTAGAGATTCTACCACACTGAGGGTGCTCTAACACAGTCCTCCCACCCTGTGTTTGCTTAACAAAAAAAAGTGGGAGGACTGATTCCTACTTAATGGTAAGGCTTGAGTGACCCCAAAGGGCTTGGATGGTGGAGGGCTGGGAGTGCTGGCTTAGCATATTTTAAAAAGCAGGTTCTCACGTATTCTCAGCATGAGATCAGGGAGAGCACCACAGAGGGAATGAGAAGAGGCAGAGAGTAAAGCCTGGAGAAGTCAGATGTGCTGGGGACAGGAACCCAGGGAGACGAGGAATCCAGACCACAGGACCACCTGCCAGTCAGAGCAGAGGCGGCTGCTCAGAACAAGGACCCTGTTAACCTCTTGCCTAACGAGGCGCTACAACAGCATTTATGGTTTTGGTCGCAGTAAAAGGCAAACCTACTATAACTGACTACCATATACGTGTGTGTGCGCACACGCGCATGTGTGTGTGTAGAAACTTACACAAGGCCAGAGGCCCAGAGGGTTCTGAGACACCTGGAACACCCCTTCTCCAAAGCAGACTCTTGGTCCAGTGAGTGGGAAGTCATAGTCCAGCCACATTTACGTCCTGCAGGCCCAACCCACACCAGGAATGAAGGCCCCCGACTGACACTGAGCTTGCCTGGAGCCACCCCATTCAGTCGAGGTTTACTGACGATGCTCGTAATAGGTCAACACTCAGAGCTGTCCGGTGGAGACCCAAACCATGGCGAGCAAGGGGATCAGTCAGAGGGAGCCAGGAACAGACGGTGCATCTCAGGTAGGTGAGAAAGCCAGGCTCCAGCCATCTGTGCTCAGCAGACCCCACGGGCTTGGAGGACTCCAGGCCAGGGTGCGGATCTCAGCTTCTCCTGCTCTGAGTAAGATTCATGTAGGATGAGTGGCTTCAGCAGGACCCCGCCCAGTCCAAGCTCCTCCACATCCTAAGTCATCCTTACTGCCTCCTCTGGAAACCCCTTCTGCCCTGGAGAGTCCTTCTCCTACATGCTCCTGCCCAAGCCCCTTTGCTGTCTGCACCTCCCCTCCAGGGCCTCCACAGGGGGTACCCCAAGCTGGCTACCTGGACCTCCTTCCCTCTGAATGTAGCACTTCCCCCAACCCCCAACTCCAAAGCCAGCCTCCTGGCGGCGCCTCGCCCTCCCCAGGCCCCAGAGACAGCTTCACCTGACGCCTGGAACCAGGAGCGGCCAGGCCCTTTGAGTTTTGCCAGTATCCCCACAAAAGTGTTTCCTAAAACATTACTCCCTGCATTTAGGCTGACAGCATAAACCATCATCCCTGCTTTAAGCAGCCGCAAGGGACAGCACTGCCAGCAAACCGCAAATACCGACTTCATATAAAGCCCCATGTCACTCTTGTAAACATACCTATCGGAATCTAGGCACGACAACGTGACAGCCACGGCCATCTATTTATGACGAACATGAGGGGCTCTTCTTTAAGGGCCAGAAAGTGTCCCCTTCTTCCTCCAGGAATTATCTCTGTTACCACAAAATGCAAACGTGGTGTCGTATATTCGTGCTTAAAATTACTCTACTGATTCCCCACTGTATCTTTTTGCAACACGAACGTGCAAATAAATGGAATTTGTCTTGATTTTCTACAACCACGGGGTTGTGCTAACTTCTCTTGGATTGAACTGTCACTGCAGTAGTCACGTGTCCTCCATGGTGGTGACTGTCACTGCAGTAGAGTCGCGTGTGCTCCATGGTGGTGACTGTCACTGCAGTAGAGTCACGTGTGCTCCATGGTGGTGACTGTCACTGCAGTAGAGTCGCGTGTGCTCCATGGTGGTGACTGTCACTGCAGTAGTCGTGTGTGCTCCATGGTGGTGACTGTCACTGCAGTAGTCGCGTGTGCTCCATGGTGGTGACTGTCACTGCAGTAGTCGCGTGTGCTCCATGGTGGTGACTGTCACTGCAGTAGTCACGTGTGCTCCATGGTGGTGACTGTCACTGCAGTAGTCACGTGTGCTCCATGGTGGTGACTGTCACTGCAGTAGTCACGTGTGCTCCATGGTGGTGACTGTCACTGCAGTAGTCGCGTGTGCTCCATGGTGGTGACTGTCACTGCAGTAGTCGCGTGTGCTCCATGGTGGTGACTGTCACTGCAGTAGTCACGTGTGCTCCATGGTGGTGACTGTCACTGCAGTAGAGTTGCGTGTGCTCCATGGTGGTGACTGTCACTGCAGTAGTCACGTGTGCTCCATGGTGGTGACTGTCACTGCAGTAGAGTCGCGTGTGCTCCATGGTGGTGACCGTCACTGCAGTAGAGTCGTGTGTGCTCCATGGTGGTGACTGTCACTGCAGTAGAGTCGTGTGTGCTCCATGGTGGTGACTGTCACTGCAGTAGTCACGTGTGCTCCATGGTGGTGACTGTCACTGCAGTAGAGTCGCGTGTGCTCCATGGTGGTGACTGTCACTGCAGTAGTCACGTGTGCTCCATGGTGGTGACTGTCACTGCAGTAGTCACGTGTGCTCCATGGTGGTGACTGTCACTGCAGTAGAGTCGCGTGTGCTCCATGGTGGTGACTGTCACTGCAGTAGTCGCGTGTGCTCGACGGTGGTGACTGTCACTGCAGTAGTCACATGTGCTCGACGGTGGTGATACACCCTGAGAAATACATTGCTGTGCGATTCTGTAGTTAGTGTGCATACACAACCCTAGATGGGACAGCCTGCTACACACCTAGGCTACGAACCTGTACAGCACCTGACTATTCACAATACTGTAGGCACCTGTAACATCACAGTATTTGTTTATCTGAACATATCTCAACGTGGAAAAGGTCGAGTGAAAACACGGTACTGTGATCTTAGGGACCAGCACCATATAAGCGGTCCAGCTCGAACAAAACCTCCTTATGTGGTGAGACCGCAACTGAAACGCCACCAGTCAAAACAGGAACAGTCTGCGCTTTGACAACACCATCTAACATGAAAGCTGTGTTTCACAGAAGAGAAAGAGCTCCGCCCCCGATCAGTCCACACATGACGGACAAATGCTCACCTCTGTCCCTATTCCTCTTTCTAGAAATGTGAGCGCAGAGAAGCCAGTTCCAGAAATAAGGAGATGGGAGCAGAAGAGGCTTGGTCACAGCAGAGTCCCCCAGTGCCACATCCTCTCGAGTTCCGAGTCTGAATTCATCAAAGATCAACTTGCCATCAACGATCACCATGAATGCCGCAGGCAGAGGCTCCCACATACTACAGGCCTGTGGCCCTAGGGGAGCCACTCACTCCCCAACACCCTCACATCTGCTGGGACCCCATGGTTCCCACACCCCTGGGCCCGCCACTGCAAGAGGGATCTGTCCTTAGGAGGAGCCTTTTGAGGAGTGGACATGGGCCCAGGGCAGGGGCTTCTCCCACTCTGAGAGGGAGTATGAAGATGTCTGGTCTACAGGGCCTCTGAGTCCCTCTAGTCACCTCCACACCCAGGACACAGCCATCACCTGCACTTCAGTAAACAGCAACTCTAGTCACCCACCACACATTTCCCAGCAGGCCTGCCTGGCTCTGGATCTGGCTCTGTGCTGCCCCATCTCCCCTTCTGCCTCCAAGCTACGTGGAGTGGAAACAGGCTGGGCCTGGATTCCTGTGAAGCCAGCTCCATCCCACCACTGCTCAAAGCCCCTCAGTGGCATCCCCACCACTGCTCTGCCCCACCACTGCTCAAAGCCCCTCAGCGGCATCCATAAGGCACTCATCCACAAGGCACTCGGAATAAAATCTCTGCTGGGTGCCTAGCCCCTGCTGCCCCGCCTGCACGGCCACACTGGCCTGTCCCATCCTGGGCTCATCCTACCCCAGGGCCTTTGCACTTGCCACCATCTGCCTGGTAGGGCAGGTACCACCCTGCCCAGTTCTACCAGAGGCTCCCTCATAGCACTGGTCTGCGCTGTGGCCCCTCCTCACATGGTCCCTTCTGGTCCCACCCCCAAGCGCCCCATCCCTGGCCTGACACCTGCCTGCCCCACTTCCTTTCTTCATGCTCTTCCCACCGCCTTAACTGACAGTTTATGATTTTCTGTCTACACCACCTCCCGCCTGCCCCCCCTTCCCCCCTACCAGAACATCAGGTCCACCAGGTGTTAGGTGTAGCCCTCTCTTCCGTCCACTACAGCTTGGGGCATGTAACAGGCGTTCAACAAACACTGGTAGGAAGAATGAACCACGGCGGAATGAATGAATATCTACACACACTAGCACTGTGAGGTGAGGGGAGCTGAGCAGGGCCATTCATGCTTTGCAAATGAGGAACCGAGTCTGAGAAAGCATTTAGGTCTCTGCTTGCCATCCCAGCCCCGGAGCACACAGGTGGAAGACACAGTTGCCTTAAATCTCCCTTCACTGCAAAATGGCAGGACTGTTCTTTCCTCGCCCGCTGCACAGATAATGACATCAAAAATGGTATGAGAGCAACATCCTAAGTGAACAGAGTTCTTTGTCGAATACAGTCATTCTAAGACAGGCTAGCAGCCTTCCAACCACAGTTGATTATTACATTTATTTATTTGTCTTCTGGAGAAATAATCATCCCGCCTGCTTCCAAAATGGGACATACTCGTTTATGCCCTGCCGGGTACTTCGCTGCAAAAAGTTTGAATCACAGATGTAAGAAGAAAAACAAACTATTAAAAAAAATTGTTGTTTTTCTTTTGAAAATCTGAATTATAGAGCTAGTACTTCTTCATCTTTCACCATGAGGCAGCGACGTCGGGAAATCTGGGGAAGGAGTGAAGCAGCGAAAACGTGAAACGTGAAAATGTCCGAGCTTGAAACAAAATATGGTAGCGGCGTGTGCGCCGGGCGGGGCGCCTCCCTTTTCAAAAGCGTTTACACCACTGCATTCTCGCAGGACTGTCACTGCTACCTTTCAGAGTTCATCACGAAACCACTGGTGCCTTTCCATGTCATCCTTAAAAACACCTTCAGGAACCAAACTGGGTTCTCTAAATTCACCTGAGTCTGGCTTAAGCCAATGTAGTTTTTTTTTAAAACAAGGTTGGCAGCTTTAAATACACACATAGGTCCACGTGTCTCTGATCACACACTTGTTTCTACCGTTTTAAACTCTCTTTGGGAGCTCGGGGGTGAGGGGCAATTTCTGAGCATTTGTGGGAGAAAAACCCATCCACTACCTCACGGGCTTAAGGAAGGCAAACGGGTGATAACTCTAACCACCAGGTAGTGGTATTTATTTCCATGAGTTTTCATTTCTGTCTTCTCAAGGCCGACCCCTGCGTGAACACCTTCCCTCTCGCCTGAGGCCGCACGTGGCCCCTGTCCCCACCTGTCCGCGGGAGGCGGGTCTCACCTGGGCGACGGGCGCGCCCAGTCCCCGCACGGCCACCCGCCCCGGGCAGGCGCGCGTCACCCGTCCATCCACCTCGCTACCTTCTCTCTGCTACCAAAAGGCTTACGAAAATAAGGCGCAGGGGGCCTGGGGACCCCATCACCCGGACTCAGCTTCTCTAAACGCGGGGGTGGGGTCCAGGGACCCTCCCGTGCGCCCCGCACCGGCTGTTCCCGAGGGCGGGGACAACGACACCCCCGAGGCCCTCGGCGAAGAAGCCGCCCGGGGATCGGGGCCGCGGGGCCACGGGCCGGGGGCGGCGAAGACCCCGCGCCGCGCCCACGGGCGAACGCGGCCCGGCAGCTCCGCGGCTCCACGCTGGGCATGGCCGCGGGCGGGCGGGGGGCGCAAGGCCGGGGGCGAGGGCGCTGGGCCCAGCCAGGAGCGCCCGCGGCGGCGGGACCCGGCGGGCGGGCGGCGCGCAGGGCGATCCCGGAGCGGCTCCGGGAAATCCAGCCGGGTTTTGACTCCGATCGCCAACGGTGCCCGCAGCCGGCGAATGTAACAAAGAACAGTCGGCATGGCGGCTGGACCGGGGCGGCGCGCGGCGGCCGGGCGCGGGGGGCGGGGGGCGCCAGGTCCGGGGCGCGCCGGGGCTCGCGGGGGCGGCCGGCGTGGGCCAGGACGGGCGGGTCGCGCGCCAGGGCGGGCGGCAGGCGCGGGGCCCAGAGCTTTACCTGCCTTTGGAATGTGCAGAGCGGGATCGGATCCGGACTCCGGGTTGCGATCCGCTCCGGAAACTGCGCAGCACCGGAAGCCGGGGGGCGGTGGCGGGGCATGGCGGGACTTGTAGTTTGCATCCGGGCGCGGGGGGCGCCGGCGAGACGGGGGCGCGGCTGGCGAGGCCTGCGGGACGTGCGCGGCGTGGACGGGGCAGTGGGCGCTCGCGGGGCGGGTCTGGCAGCAGGGGATTCCGCGCGCGGCCCCCTCCCACGTGGCACGGCCCCGCCGCCCACGCGCACGTGCAGCTCCCCCTCCATCTCCTGGGACGCGTTTCTTGCGGGGTTGGGCAGTGGTGGCGGTGGGTGGGGTCGAGTTTTTCTCTGGAGCAGGCCTGGGACTTGCCCCCACTCACGGTGGCCTCGGGATTTGGCCGGCGGGGTGGGCTTTGGGACACGAGCTCTGTGCTCGCGAGGGGCTGGGAGGGGAGTCCGGCCGGACGGGCTCGGCCACGGGCCTGGCTCTAGGTTCTTCCGTGAGGGCCGCTGTGGCCTCTCTTGACCCCCTCCGCCTAGTGTGTGTGCCATGACAAAACGTTGAGACGAAGCGAGGAACTTTCACCTTAGTCCTGGCCGCCCGCATTCGGAGAGGCAGACCGTCTTGTTCATTGCTGCCTGGCAAAAAGCCTCCATTCAGAAAGACAAGTCATGAACGGGCAACGATTTTAAATTGCTACTACAGGAGGGCTCCTTTCCCTCTCGTATGCGAGGCTCTTAGGAATCAGTACACTTATAAATATGCATATAGAAACATGAGCAAAGCATATGGATGGACAGTTCCCAGGAAATTCGATGGTTCTTAAGTATATGAGAAGCTATTCAACTACGCCGTAATGAGAAACAAAGTCACCGTAAAATCATTTTTATTAGATTAGCAAAGATTTTTTAAAAGTTTAATACAGCCTGGACAACATAGCCAGACCCTGTCTCTAAAAACCTTAGCTGGGCTTAGTGGCACGTGCCCATAGCCTCAGCTACTCAGGAGGCTGGGACAGGAGGGTCACTTGAGTCTCACAGGTTGAGCCTGCAGTGAGCTGTGATCGTGCCACTGCGCTCCAGCCTGAGCAACAAAACCAGCGAGACCTTGCCTCAAAAAAAAAGCTTAAATTTTGAAGAAACTAGAGAAACAAGCTCTCTCCTTTGCTGGTAGGAGAATAAATTAGTACAGCTTCCATTCAGATAATTTGTGGATATCCATAAAAATTCTAAATGCACACAGCCTTTGACTCACATGCAGGATTCATGCCAGAGACGGACTTGCTTGCATGAATGTTAGATGTATAAGGTTAGTCATAACCACGTGCCATCCCATGGGAAGTGTTGCACCTGGGCACATCCATAGGGTGCAGGGCTGGGCAGCCAGAGACAGTAGGCAAGTGTTGCTCTGTTACGGCTGGGTTCTCTGCCTGGCCCAGCATTCTGCAGTGGCTTCTGTGTTGCCCTATGCTGGGCCGTTGGGGTCAGTTGGCTCCCCAGACCTTTCTGGAGCCTCCCCCACGTCCACCGTCTCCCTGCTTGTCCCCACCTGGGGCATCAGGCCTCCCTCCAGCCTCCTGACCCTCAAGCCTGTTCCCAAGGCCTTCCACACTCCATCTTCAAAACTTCCCGGGCTTTCCACAACCATCTCTGTATTCAGGTCTCCGCCCAGCTCCACTCCCATTACCACCATGACAGCTAATGGACACTCCCTCTACACACCGCTGGTGACATCACTCACAGTTCCAACATGGCCAGATGACTGGTTCTCTGGGCCTCAGCACATGAAATAGTCCTCAGTATACGTAAATAAAAGGTTGTTTATAGCGGCAGGTCCACGGCAAGTGCGAATAACTGAAAGTAAACAAAAGACTTCACCCACTCCAAGCCGTTTCTCCTAGTTCTATGCACAGCCCAGGGCTGGAATTCACACATGACAATCATCAGGCCTTTAAGAGGATTCTCAGTGTGTCCACTGTAATCCTTCAGTACAGTCTAGAAATAATACCTCTTAAGGCAGATTCATCTCCAAAATTTTAATTAAAAAAAAAAAGGTTTGTTGCTTAAGGTGTCAAGTTTTCATTATTAATAACTAATTCGGCCAGGCAAGGTGGCTCATGCCAGTAATCCCAGCACTTTGGGAGGCTAAGGTGGGCGGATCACCTGAAGTCAGGAGTTTGAGACCAGCCTGGCCAACATGGTGAAACCCCGTCTCTACTACAAATACAAATATTAGCCAGGCGTGGTGGTGGGCACCTGCAATCCCAGCTATTCAAGGATGCTGAAACAGCAGAATCGCTTGAGCCTGAAAGGCGGAGGCTGCAGTGAGCCGAGGTCATGCCACTGCACTCCAGCCCCCGGGCAACAGAGACTCCATCTCAAAAAGAAGAAAGAAAGAAACAAATGCAAGATACAACTTTGAATAATGTGCAGAAAAAAAAAAGACAAACACCTATAAAGGTTGTTATTGGGGAAAATGGGACATCTGAACATGAACCATGGTATTGGATGATTACCTCAATGTTCAACTGACACTGTGTGTATTACAGCCCTGTTAACTTTCCCAAGGGGGATGCTGTAGTGAAAGTATGATAGCCAGGGCCAATCATTGTTCTCAGAAAAGCATTCTGAAGGATTTAGGGTGAAATACCATGATGTCTGCAAACACTCCAGATGAGACCGAGAGAGCAGAGTGGCAAAACTGCTGAATCTATGTGGGTTATTCTGTAGGTCTGAAAAAAAATAGTTGAAAATTTAAAAACCAACAGACAAGAGATTCCACAGCTATCAGTGAATTTCCTTGTGAACACATTTCTTCTGTCGCAGACACTCGATGGGATTAAGATGTGATTAATCAATGAGGGCTACGCCCACAGCCTGTGGATGGCCTGCAGGCCTTAGTACTTTTCCAATTAGCATGTCTCCTCAGCTGTGGTTTTCTTCCAATTTAAATACAAACCTACTCCTATGTAAACCATCATAGACATCCTTAATCACTTCTCCAGCTACCTCCAGCTTTTAATTTTTAAAAAATTGGCTGATTTTCCTCATAGAGGGAAGTCTGATCATCAGCAAGTAAGTTAATTCCCACTAAGTGTGAAACATTGCTATTCTCACCCACAACAGGCAGAATTCAAGTTCAGAAAAGACTATGTATCCTTGAAGAGTAAACACTGACCTCATTCACTGGCACGGGCCTTAGAGCGCAGTCAGTCACAAGCTTCACATCCGCTCACATACTCACAAATTAGGGGATGGTATAGCTGGACTATTTAGTAGATGTTCGTTGTAGGAGTATGTAGATTTTCCACAGAGTGCTATTATGTGGCTTGAGCCTGGGCCCTGCCTCCGACCTCCTCAGTGATTTCTCCAGGTTCCAGGGAAGGAGACCAGCCTTTTCCTCATGATAGGCTGGTGGTTTTTAAACATTTGTTTAACTCAGCAAATGAAATGTATCATGTTCCTGACACTGCTGCACCAGCTTTTTTACATATAAAATTATTAAAAATTTTTGGCCAGCCGTGGTGGTTCATGCCTGTAATCCCAGCACTTTGGGAGGCCAAGGCAGGTGGATCACTTAAGGTCAGGAGTTCAAGACCAGCCTGGCCAACATGGTGAAACCGCGCCTCTACTAAAAATACGAAAATTAGTTGAGTGCAGTGGCAGGCTCCTATAATCCCAGCTTCTTGAGAGGCTGAGGAAGGAGAATCATTGGAACTCAGGAGGCAAAGTTTGCAGTGAGCCAAGATCGTGCTATTGCACTCCAGCCTGAGTGACCACGCCCAGTCTCTCTGTCATATACAAGCTGTGCTTGCTACCCAGCTAGGCTATAAAGTAAAAAATCCCCTGGACTTAGTCCAGTGCCCTACCTGGTCCAGCAATGATGATCACCTGCTGATAACCCTTCTGTGAAGGTGCACAAGGTCCCTGCACATCCAACTTTATCAGTGACATTAATGTAGATACATAAATACATAGGCAACTAGTTTTGAATCCCTGTCACAGCAGTGTGTGACTCGCAGTTTCCACCGTGGACAGTCACGGTGTGGAGCTGGGGAAGGTCAGTGGAGGAAAGCTGATGTTTCCAGGTCACCACTGTGAAGGAGGGTGTGGCCTCCGCAGCTTTCTCTCCAGGGGGATCACTGTGCTGTGTCAGCCATCCCGGTGTCTAGCCCCCTTTGGTGAGTGAGCTGCATTTTAAAAATAAACCTTATTAACATAAACACGCATCACCCTGTCTTTGTAGGGGTGCTAAGGTCAAAACGGCATGTGGCCATCCGCTCCAGTGGCCGGCTCTGTCCCCAGCACCGGGTCCTGGGTGAGGGCGTGAGGGAGATGGAAGCAAAGCTGCTGTCTGTGCTCAGGTTAGGGTCATCACCTGAGCGTCGTCCTTGCTCTGCTAGGTAGGCAATGACTGTACGAAGCCCTGGGGGATACAGGAAATGAGAGCAATGCCACACGGTGAAGCCGGAGAGCCGCAGGCCTGAGCCACTGCGAGCATGGCACTGCCGCACTCATGGGGGGGCTCCTTCTTGGAGAAGGCAGGCCTTGAGTTGGGTTAGACCATTCAAAGAGCGAGTGTGAACTGCTGGGCATGAGGACACATGCTCCAGAACCACCGAGGGTGGTTGGGCTGGCTTAATCTGGGCAATGTCGAACACTCTGGCAAGAGCACAGCGCTCACCTGGAGGTGATCAGCTTTAGAAAGTTGGTAAATTAGGAAAAGCTTGGCCTCCAGCCACTCACTCCAGCCTCCTCCCGGAGCATCAGCACAAAGTGGGTCCCACTGGCCACACGGAGGAAGCAACAGTTGAATCACTGGGGCCTGAACCACTTCTAATTCCTACAAGAAGCGCTGCCATCACCACCTTGCCGTGCCCAATAAATGGAGCAGAAGACCTGGAACCCAGCTGGGAAGCATCAGGCTCCCTCTGAGGGTCTACATGTGTCTAGCGGGTGGGCAGGGCAGCCGAGAGGAAGGATCCGGGGCATGGGGGCAGGAGGCTGGACCTGTGCAATAGCTTCCTCCAGGACCCCAGTTCTCTGTGTGCTCTGGTGTCTGGGCACTGCAGGGGAAATGAAGGCTGATGGAGACCACGGGAACCAATGACCACAAAGGAGGCAAGATGCCTGCATGGGGTCCAGCAAGTCACGTCTGTGACCCCCGACTCCACTGCCTCCACCCCAGAACCCGTGAGCCCCAGGCACGTGCAAACACCGTTGCACCTGTGGCTGAGCTGGGTACCAGTCCCCGTCTGCATGCATGTGGGCCACACCCAGGGGTGCAGAATGGACAACGATGTCCTAGGATGGAAGAACGCTTCCCCCCACCCTAGGGGAGGTCCCTGTGCACTGTGTGGGGGCACGGCTGCCCTTCACAGGGACCACCTGACATGCACCCTCGTGTGGGCTTCGTATTCCCGTTCCACTCCCTCGGCCGGACCTCGGCACTCCGTTGGCACTTCCCAGGTGTGTCACCCTCAGGCCACCACATACTGGGCTCTGCAGCTGGGGGAGCCCAGGACAACAGTCCCTGAAGTGTAGCATCCACAATTCACCCTGACCCAAGGGTCACTGGAAACACTGTCTCCCAGGCTGGAGTGCAATGGTGAGATCTCAGCTCACTGCAACCTCCATCTCCTGGCTTTAAGCAATTCTCTTGCCTCAACCTCCCAAGTAGCTGGAATTACACGCAAGTGCCACCACACCTGGATAATTTTTATATTTTAAGTAGAGATGGGGTTTCACCATGTTGGCCAGGCTGATTTCGAACTCCTGACCTCAGGTGATCCGCCCACCTCGGCCTCCCAAAGTGCTGGGATTACAGGTGTGAGCCACCGTGCCCGGCCTGCCTCTTCTTTGACATTAATTGACTGTGATGGTTGGTCGCTTGCAGTGACCTGATGAAGGGGACAGTAAGAGAAGACCTGAGGCTTCCAGGACCGAACAGGACTCATGAAAAACAACCCAGCGTGTAGTGTTCCATGTGCACATTTATTTATTTCAAAGATTGTTTGTGTTCCAGCCACATCTTCTCCAAAGGAGCCCACCCAGCCTGTGCACAGGCGAGGTGCAGGGCTGTCTTCGGTGTTTAAAGTGCTACTGAGGGTTACAATCATTGTCACGAAAGCTCATCACTGCACTCCAGCGTCAGGCCAAACCTTTCCGCGGACCTGGAAAACCTGCCATTTTCTTCTTTTTAAAAATGCAGTTTTGACATAACATTGGTAAACAACAAACCAGAAGCGTAAGTGAGGCGTGGTGCGTTACTGCCCAGCTGCTAGCTTAGGGAACGGGGCAGTGGACTGTGTTTCGAATGCAAACGGTCATGGGCCCAAGGGAACCTGAGTTTGCCCTGCAAAACCTGAGGATTCCGCAGGGGCCTTGCCCTGTGCAGGATGCTTTGGTCGTCGTGTCTGGGTCAGTATGGGGCAGTGAGGAGAGGGCCTGGCAACAGGGTTTATGCCAGTCCGGAGGTCTGTTTCCATCTGACAGAGATAAATGTCCTGATTTCCACTGTCCACCAATTTGTACCCGGAAGTTTCCAGATTAAGAGTAGTGAGACTATCACCCAGGAAACACCGGCCTTTGGTGGCCAGCGATATCAGTTATCTTTCCCTCTCTGCAACTCCCATCTATAGATGTGGCCAGTAAAACCCAAGCGAAAATCTAAATGGGCACCAATCTGTTACTGAGTGGCAGCTGGTCGAGTAGCTGTCATAAGGGATCAGGGCTGGTTTTGAACTGAGACTTGAAACCTGGTTAGAATAAAGTGCTCTGTCAAAACTCTCATAGCAGCTTTTCAGCTGGAACAAGGAGATGGCTACTTTTGTTATTGCTACAATACTACACACGTGTGTGCAGACACACACACACACACACCACACACACTTAAAGCTCCATTTCATTCCTCCACAAAGAACAGACACCTTAAACAAAGCAAACTGGGAAGGGTTGCCAGCTCATTAAACCCAACATGAGCACCCAGTTCCAGGGACACAGACACAATTAATCGTAGTGTTCACAAGGAATGGCTTTTCAAACCCCACTCGACAAAACTTTCATCCAGACAAACACCAAAAACAGAAGCCCGCAGGCCACAGAAGCCTGTAGAAGAGGTGAGGCGATAAAGGTGGCTTACACATCAGCATTTCCAGTATTTGGTGGATCATCTTAACTGACCTTTAACCTTCACGATATTGACTTTATCATAAATGCCCCACACCGCAGAAAAACAAACCTGTATAAAACAGCTTGGAAAAGAAACAGTCACAGTATCAACAGAGCCCGTTTTGTTGCGGTGCTACCCTGAAGCTAGCCTACGTGCTTCCTTCATTGCTTCAACTCCCTGCCACGTTGGTGTTTTCTGTGACTTCAGAAAAGGCCACTGGATGGAGACCACGTGAGCATGGAGCCCACGTGAGCATGTCTACGGGAAGCAGAGCCCCAGACCTAGATATGCGACACTAAGCAGTGCTCATGGGATTCAGCTGGAAATGGGATGGTTAAAAACTTTTTTGAGTGGGGCAAGAAGGCTTAATCTAAAATTCTGGGCCTGGTGTGGTGGCTCATGCCTATAATCCCAGAGCTTTTGGAGGCTGAGGCGGGTGGATCACCTGAGGTCAGGCGTGTGAGACCAGCCTAACCAACTTGGTGAAACTCCATCTCTACTAAATACAAATAAATTAGCCAGGTGTGGTGGCGCGGGCCTGTAATCCCAGCTACTTGGGAGGCTGAGGCAGGAGAATCGCTTAAACCTGGGAGGTTGCAGTGAGCCACCATTGCACTCAAGCCTGGGCAACAGAGTGAAAGACCGTCTCCAAAAACAAATTTTTTTAATAAAAAAAAGCTTCTGATATCCTCGCACTTGAATAGAGTGCACCTGAATTCCAAAATCAAACAAAAAGAACAATTAAAAACTTCTCATCAGTGTCTGAAATTCTGACACATAAATCACATAATATCCTGTTGGAATTCTTCTGTGTCTCAGGCTCTTTTTACCATGTGGCCAAGAGCAGTGTAAAAACCTGTCCCTAAAGACCAGCAGTGGTGCCTGACTCGGGGACAGAAACTGGGTAGTGTTCATGTATTTTGCAACTCCAAGTGCTTTTTTTTAAAAAAAAAACATCATTAAAACTGGAATATAATTTTTAAAAACAAAGCAGGTTTAAAATCATTTTAAAGTCACTCGATGATTCCTGGAACACCTAAGAAGTGTGTAATGTGCATCTTAAGGTGAAATTCCTAATGTAGTGTTCTAATCTCACCCCTAAAAAAGAAGAAAAAAATCCCGTAATTTTGGTCTTTACATAGGTTTCTATTCACCAGGGGCTCCGTGGCCTCTGAGACATTTAGTGTGTAAGAGTTCCAGCACGCCTGCGGAAGGAAGCCCGCCCAGCTCCATCTCCAGGACAGAAGTCAAGTGTTCGTAACAGCCTTTTCCATCTCTTTGGAGAAAAGTGACCTACATTAAACTGTCACACACTTCACCGCAATGATGGCTGCTCATTACCCAGCATGTCTACGGGAAGTGGCACATTCGGAAGGAGCAGACCAAGGTGAAAACTGAAGGAAGTGACGTGGAAAGGCAGCGGAGGGGGAAAGCGACCGGAATGACACCTGGGGATAGTAAAACGCTGTGCCAGGTTCATCACGTGTTCCACCAAAAGAGACCCAAACAAGGGCACCCCAAACTGTGTCCACGAGTACGGCTGACAGCGAAATTCTGAAGCGCTCGTAGGAGTTTCCTGCAAGTTTGGGCCATTTAAACTCCCGTTCCTAAGACTGACACCTGAGACACAAGGTAATTTCCTCTGCTGCCCTGAAAGGACTTTGCTTTGGCTGCTGGCAGCATCTGGCAAACTCCATGTCTGTGTTTGGTTGCCGTGTTCTACGAGGCGTCGCCTGTGGCTCCCGACTTCATTCGCCAGGCCTGCTGTGCTCGTTTAGGAAGTACGACAGGCGGGGAAAAACAACCTGGCTGTCAACTACTCCACTAGTGTTATTAGAGCTTTTAACATGATAGAGAAAAATGTAAAAACCATGTGAGAATATATCCCCTTCCACTTGCAAGTAGGCTCAAAGTACACTTAGAAGAGTGCAGCATAGATGCATAGGACAGTGCTGTTCCATGGCCGATCGAAGGCAGATGTCTTCCTACAGTTGCAACTGCATTCCTATCATTTCCCTATAAAAATCCTGCCTGTGTTCCACTTCCCTGTACCTAGGGCCAGCCGCCTGCGTTAGTCCAAGCAGCAGATGAGGAGAGGTGACCCACCCATTCCATTCACAATGACAGCACAGAAGGGCACCTCCTTTCTGTGACACGATCCACGCATGGGCCCATAACAACACGTGAGTGTGTAGAATAGGTAAACTGAGTCCCTCAAGCCTGCCCTCCACAATCCATTAGAGCGTATTATTTCTCTTATAATGTTAATCTCCTTCTAATATTTAGCCCTGACTCTTAGCTTTGAGCACGGCCCAAGCTCTGGAGCTGTCAAGTCTCATTTGGCATCTGGTGGCAAGTTAGGCTTTTTCGCCCTCTTTGGGGAAAGCCTCCTGGCTGGAGACTCAGATTCTGTTTTCCCTTTAAAAGACTAGATGGTTGGAAGAAACCCAGCAAGACAAGCGGGGCGTCTGGACATCTGGCAGACACGCTCACTGTGTCCTGGTAAGGGCAGTAACATGGGTGCAGGCCTTCTGATTGGCGGCGGTGACCTCAGCCCCTACGTGCAGGGCTCCACGGGGGCACCGTTCATGGTGTTCTTGTTTCTGTGCCTGGAGAGCAGCTTCTTGTTCAGGATCTTGGTGATGGTGACCCCTTTCCTCCGGGAACCCTCTGGCTGCTCCAGGAACACAAGGTCATTGTGTGACTGACTCATGCCCGGGTCTTTCTGTTGATGCCGCCGGCGGAAGAACAGCTTTGCACCTTTCCTTAGAATTCCTCCTGGAAGAGGGAAGCACAGGGGCTGGTCAAGTGGGCAGGGGATGAGAGGCTGAATAACTGGTCCAATGGGACAAGGGAAAAAGGAGGCCCAGATGCCATTAATGAAGGGCTGGTTTACTACTGCAACATGCTGTCACTACCTGCAGGAGAACAACTGGAATGTGGCTTGTAGACAACTAGTTTTCACCTGGAAATGGAAAGGTTATAACTGCAGAAGCAGTGAGCCTGGACTGTCGCTCGGCATCCATTTCCAAGGACGGTATTTATATTCCTAATTTTTCTTTTCTTTCTTTTTGAGACAGAGTCTTGCTGTCACCCAGGCTGGAGTGGCGGGGGGGCAATCTTGGCTCACTGCAACCTCCACCTCCCAGGTTCAAGAGATTCTCCCGCCTCAGCCTCCTGAGTAGCTGGGATTACAGGTGCCTGCCACCACGCCCAGGTATTTTTTTGTATTTTTAGTACAGACGGGGTTTCACCATGTTGGTCAGGCTGGTCTCAAACTCCTGAGCTCAGGTGATCCACCCACCTCAGCCTCCCAAAGTGCTGGGAGCTGGAATTACAGGCATGAGCCACCACGCTTGGCCTCTATCCCTGATTTTTTATCAGACCAAATGGAGGCAGACAGCTGTTGCCTCGGTTGGGACACCAAAGACACCTGGGTCCCCTCTGTGCCACCCACTTCCCTTCATTAGAAAGGCTGTAAGTGGGAAAGCAGTACCGTGCCCAGAAAGGACAGTCACATCATAAGACCCAACTAAGGATCCTGAGAACATGGCATTCACTTTCTTAGGAGTGTTAAATAATATGTACTCTTTTGGGAATAATGTTTTATTTAAAAAACCACTGCAGATCCATTAGGCTCTGCCATCTGAAGTTGGTTACTTGGGTATTTTTGGCCTAAAAAACCTTGGCCGGGCGTGGTGGCTCAAGCCTGTAATCCCAGCACTTTGGGAGGCCAAGGCAGGTAGATCACAAGGTCAAGAGATCGAGACCATCCTGGTCAACATGGTGAACCCTGTCTCTACTAAAAATACAAAAAATCAGCTGGACATGGTGGCATATGTCTGTAATCCCAGCTACTCAGGAGGCTGAGGCAGGAGAATTGCCTGAACCCAGGAGGCGGAGGTTTCGGTGAGCCGAGATCGCACCATTGCACTCCAGCCTGGGCAACAAGAGCGAAACTCCATCTCAAAACAAAAACACCTCAATTTTGTGTGCTCTGTTTACAGACAGATACGGATATCTATGTCCAGTTGCATATCTGGATGTAGGTATCTGTCAGGTAGTGGAACAGGGAGCAGCAACAATAATTTCAACGGCAGTGATTCCTTAGAGGTCAAATGCAAGCTGATGTAGGGGTGCGGGAGCCCGCTAATTTGCTTTTTCACAAATGAGCTGAGCAGCCTGTTAGCCAAGGCTGGCAAGGTCACGGGAGTCAGCACCCGAGGCCAGCCCGTGGAATTCATTACCATTTGCATGTAGGTGGTAATGACCTCGAGAGAAGGCAGGTCTGATCATCCTGAAGAAGGGCTTTATACTTAATGTGATAATGTGTTCCCTTTGCGATAGGCACATCCAATAAACACCTCAATAGCCTTGACATATACAAACCGCCACCCATGTTGAGGAGGTTAGAGGAGGGCGTGAAGAATACCCGTTCCCTCTTCTAAGTGAAATGCACACCAGCAACGGTGGCCCCTGCGGGCAGTCGGAGCCTGACCTAGACCCACCGAGGACTCTGTACCGTCAAAGCCTACTATGTGGAAAGCAGCATGTGCCCCTGAGCCTGGCTTCAGGCATGAACTTCTGTGTCCTATCTGCTCTGCTCAGGTTACAGGACAGAAGCGGGGACAGTGAAGAGCCGCAACAGGCTGAATTTAATTTGACCAAGAGGCCATAATTTTTTAAAAACTACTCTCTCGATACAACCACTTTTTATGATGTATCATTTGGACACGTTTTACGGTGATCTGGAGTTGGGAGCCTGTGCACAGGGGCTTCAGGGACTGCGGGAATGAAACAGGAGGGTAAGTGGGATAAACATGTAACTGCCGTCACTCTTGTCTGCACGCTTAATGGCTACACCTGTGGGACATCAGTGTCAGTTCCTGGAGTGACTCACGTCCCTGAAAAATGCGGCACATCATGAAAAACCACCCGAAGCAGGGCGTGTTCCAACGGCTGAAGAATGACCCCCAGCTGGACATGACTTTGCAGTTTGGCCAGTGGGGCTGGTGCAGTGGTGCCGAGGTGGCTAACTGCCTAGGATATCAGAGGCACCTGCTGGAGAAATGCCCTGGGTACAGTGATGATAGGGGCTCGCGGGCAGAGGAACCCCAGCTGTCAGGGGGCTCTGAGCCAACCAGGTGACCTGAGTTTGGGGGATGAGGGGGCCCTCGGTGGCATTTCTGAGCTATAAGCACCTGCCTTGACGCTCTGCTTCAGGTTGATCATGGAGGCCGTGAAAGGCATATGGACATGGGCTCTCAGGTGGGACGGGGAGAGGAAGGGGTGGATCCGTCAGGTTCACCTGGACTGCTCCAACGTCACCCCCTTCACTTCCCGGGGAAATGGAGGCCTGGGGGAGGGACCACTAACCCATCCCCCAGGTCAATCGCAGGCCCAAGGACTCAGACCCTCCGGCAGTAAGAGGTTCTTTCCTGGTTCATCTCCAAAGTCCATTTCATAGGCGTCCCTGCACTGAATCTGGCCTGGGGTGTGGAACCAGGCCTGAGGTATGAGCAGGGACAATGTTAGGGGCTGAACGTTGTTCCCCAACCTCACCCAGATTCATATGTTCTAGTCCTAACCCCCAGTATTCACAGCATGTGACCTTATTTGGAGACTGGGTCTTTGGGAAGTCACGAGGTTAAACGAGATCACTGGAGTGGCCCCGATCCAACATGCCTGCTGTCCTATCAAAAGGGAAAATTCAAAAACAGAGGCAGACACACAGGGGAGGACACTGAAGAGTCACAGGAAGGATGCCACATGAAGATGAAGGCAGAGTGCAGGGTGATGCTTCTACAAGCCAAGGAGTGCTAGAGGTTGTCAGCAGTTGTCAGCAGCCGTCAGGAGCTGGAGAGGCTCCGAAGGGGCCGGCCCTGCCAGCACCACCAGCTCAGACTTCCAGCCTCTAGAACTGGGAGAGAATTGGCTCCTGGTGTTGAAAACACCGTTTGTGGTGCTGTGATACAACCCTGGTGGGGGTCGGGGGGTGACGTGCATTGGGCTCAAGGATCCAGGAATGCCCGCCAGGTCTTCCTGTTCAGTCCTTAGAAGCCAGGCAGCCACGTGGAGGAGAGGACAGTGGAGCAGCATCCTCAGCCCCAAGCCCTTGAATCAGCCGGCCTCTATGAACTACAGGTGCACAGGCCCTTTCTGGAGAATCTGACATGATGAGGGTCCAGGGACACAGAGCATGAGCATTTTTCAAAAGATCCCAGGTCTTTCAAACATGCAGCTGGGGTTTCAAACCCACGGCTAGCTGGGGTCCGGCCAAAATGCCACCAGGGCTTAGAGCACGTGGAGGCCACAGCCAGCAACACAGGGAAGGCCAGGGCCAGGGACACAGGCCACGTGCCTGCTTCCCTGTGTGGCGCTGCTCATGCTTCTTCACGCTTCACTCTGGGGGCCTGCAGACCCCACGGCTATGCCGGGAGAAGCTGATGAAGCCCACCCTCAGGACCCGAGCCACACCAGAGAAGCATGGTGTGCCCAGGTTAAGAGGGAAGTGGGGTGAGGAGATGAGCAGGGCACGGCTGTGTCCACAAGACTTCGGGACAGGAATATGAGCCTGGCACAGTGGCTCATGCCTGGAATGCCAGCACTTCGGCAGGCTGAGGTTTGGAGAATCCCTTGAGCCCAGGAATTTGAGACAAGCCTGGGCAGCACAGCAAGACCCAATCTCTAATTAAAAAAAAAATTAAAACTTTTTATAAAAAAAGAAATAAAACAGGATGTGCACATTTTCAAGCAGTTAATATAACTCATGCAAGTGAAACTGTACTGCCAGTGCCTAACACTGAGAGGGGAGGCAGCTGCTTGAGCTCGAGAGTTTGAGACTACAGTGAGTTATCATCTAGCCACTGCTCTCCAGCCTGGGTAACAGAACAAGACCCTGTGTGTCTCTCAAAAAAAAAAAATAAATAAAATTTAAACCCTGCCTAAAATTCTAATTATTGACATACTAAGATGGAATTCCAAGGACTGCAGCCTGCCTGTAAAAAGATGCTGGACAAGAAAGAGCTGCACGGCACGTCTGTCTGCAGCGGCACTACCGGCTCCAGTCTGTGTCTGTCCACACCCTGAGGGACTCACTGGTTTTACTGGCAGATACCTGCCCCAGGGAGCCCTGTGCCAGCTTCCATGGGCCACACCCCACCCCAAGGGGCTGGTAACAAGGTTATTTTCTGTTCTTCCATCTTCACTCATGCTCTCCAGAGCATGATGACTGTTTTGTTAAATTTCTTTTTTCTTTTTTTTGAGACGGAGTCTCGCTGTGTCGCCAGGCTGGAGCAACGGGGAGATTTCGGCTCACTGCACCCTCCAACTCCCGGGCTCAAGCGACTTTTCTGCCTCAGCCTCCAGAGCAGCTGGGATTACAGGCGCACACCACCCACCACACCTGGCTAATTTTTGCATTTTTAGTAGAGACGGGGTTTCACCATATTGTCCAGGCTGGTCTCCAATTCCTGACCTCGTGATCCACCCGCCTCGGCCTCCCAAAGTGCTGGGATTACAGGCGCACACCACCCACCACACCTGGCTAATTTTTGCATTTTTAGTAGAGACGGGGTTTCACCATATTGGCCAGGCTGGTCTCCAATTCCTGACTTCATGATCCACCCGCCTCGGCCTCCCAAAGTGCTGGGATTACAGGCGTGAGCCACCGCGCCCGGCCTGTTCTGTTAAATTTCATAGTTCAACATCAGCGCCAGAATCAGATTATGTCGTATGTGCCCATGTGCAAATCTTCCCAAAATCATTTTCATGACTTG